AGCGACAGCATAGAGACATGGGACTTGGGGCAGGTTCAGACAGCAGAGTAATGTGGAGAAACGTGGGGTGCATGACAGTGCAGCCACGTGGACCGCACAGTTCAGCCTCACGCCGGATTCTGAGAGAAAATAACCCACGCACAAGAGCGCATGACGCAGTGCCCTGAATAAAATGTTTGTTTAATAATTTTATTGAGAAACAAATGGCAATGAGACAGTTTCAAAACCAATTAGTAGGATACTTTCAATAATTAATACATTGCATATTGTTGTTTTAGTGGTTATTCACTGTACGAGATGTAGACATGATATCCTGTCCACAAACACTATTAGAACAAATCCTTCTATTCATTGAATTAAGAGAAAGTAGCTGCATATCTAGTCTAACTATTTTGAATATACAGATACAAAATGGTCCTTCATTTGTATCCCCACTTTTTGTTTAGTTTTCTCAGAGAAGGGTATTCCATTGTCATTTAAATATTGTAGGTGCGTGAATTCAGCAAAATATTCCAATATAGTCCAGTAGTCCATAATACTTTTACAACTCAGCGTATTAATATGGCTTTACTTTTTATACCTCATTCTTATACTTTTCTGCTGGATGGTTAAGACCAAGTTAAAGCAAGACCTATACAACAAAACATGTAACTTTGTATTTGACAAGCTCAGTCAAATCCCCTCAGAATCTACCCTGAGACTCTGTATCACAGTTTGTACATTCTTTGTCAGTGTCAGCCATGTGGATGAGTCATAGCCATTGCTTGACCAATTTGTTCTTTGTGAAAGCCTGAGAGAATATTTTCTCTCCAGGTGACTCTCCTTAGGTACACTGTACATCATCGATCACTTTCCTCTGTGGCCCTATAATCTCCTTGATCAGAAAATTTGGGACACCTCTGATTTACAGGATGTTACAGTACAGGTTCTCCTATGTCCTGAGTTCTCACTGACCTCGAAAGACTAGAGCCAAAATGTTGGCTGTCCTTGCAGCCCTTCTTTTTCTCTAATTTTTGGTCTGCAAACTTAGGTTGTTAACCCTCCAGAAGCGAAGCTTATTATTACTACCTTACCATATAGGTAGTTGAGCTTAACCTCACTCTGTCTGAATATCAAACATCTTAGACATAACATGGAACAGGTATTTTCCATCAAGTATTGATATGTTAAACTTTAAGTTCCTGCAGAATATGAAGAAAAAAATAAAAAATTAAAAAATATTTTTAAAAATACAAATAAGCAATTACATATTTTACATAGAAATTTATGTAGGGCCAAAATGTTATATACAGTGTTGTAGCAGGACAGACTTATGAGATTTTGTTCTCTTTTGTTTTCATTTATTACCCTTATATTTTTAAACAAACATTTACTTGAGAGACAGTAAGGCAGTAATTTGTATGACATGACAAGCAATACATATTTAGAAAACCAGAATGACAGGCATTCTAAGCATGACCCTACTATTACACATTCCCATCTTCAGTGCAGTTGCTCAGTTCACACGTATCAGCATATATAGTTAGTCAGGGTGAGAATCCTACCAATTAACTGCTAGATTCGAAAATCTTCTGAAGATTCTCAGGATCATTGCCTTACCCAACTTGTGCACAAACATGTTTGGCTTTGCCTCTGTCATGCTTCCTAGCTCTTCTCCTTGCTCTCTCTTTATCGTCTAATCCTTAAGTTCTTGCTTTCCTTTTAATTTTGTTATACCTTTCTATTTTTACTTCTTCTTTTGAGTTCTTACACTAGAGGATTATACGATATTTACACATGTGTGTCTGGTTTATTTCACTTATGAGTATATGTTCAAGTGGCATCCACTTCAATATAAAGGCTTGCAGTTTATCATTCTTAATAGCTGAATAATACTCCATTGTGGAAAAATACCACATCTTTTTCAACCATTCCTCAGGTGACGGGCATCTTGGTTGTTTCCAAGATTTGGCTATCACAAATTGTGCTGCTATAAACATAGGCACACATATATCCCTATGATATGATGTTTTCAGCTCCTCTGGGAAAATTCCCAGTAGAGGAATAGCTGGTTTAAAGGGGATTTCCAGACCAACTTTTCTAAGGAGTCTCCATACTGATTTCCATAACGGTTGCACCAGTCTACACTCCCACCAGCAGTGGAGAAGGCTTCCTTTTTCCCCACAGCCTCTCCAACGTTTATTGCTGTGTGATTTCTTTATGATAGCCATTCTTTCTGGGGTGAGATGGTATCTCAATGTGAACATAAGGTTTAGCTGCAGGAAAAACTAAGCTATTGTGTTAGAATCAGGGCAGAGGGCACTTTTGGTCAGAGGGTCTATTTTTGAGAAGTGTTGGACAAGGAAGGGCCTGGCAATTATAACCCAACTGAAAAGGTAAAATGAGATAAATTCTAAAATATCCAAGATATAATTATATAGGCTTGCTCTTCCCAAAAATCAGCCCGAACCCTGACGCATGAAGATGGTGCTTTGACACCACTTTAAAGGGGATTTATCGGGATGTGCTACAGGCCTCCTCTAGTTTTCTAAAACGGAATTGCAGAGTACCAAAATATCTGAGTATAAGTAACATATGAACGCGTTGGTTGAAAACACTGTGCGTGGTACTCCGTTCTCCACAGTGCTGGTCACAAAGCAAGCTAGACAAGGACAAAATCAAGTTCAACGGTCAGGCTCAAGGCCGACCTCATGGGGAAATCGGACACGGTTCTCCTGCAGTGGGGTCTGCGACCACCGTCTCGGAGAGAGCTGGGTCTGCGCGCCGGGGCACCGCTGGGCTGCAGCTCCTGGTCACCAGAGACTCGCAGGGGCGGCTCCCCAGGGGGAAGCCCTGCCGCAGCGCGAAGCTGCGGCTCCCTGGGAGCGAACTCCCTCAGCCCACCAGGCACGAGGTGCAAGCTTCCCTACACGAGCCTGACGATTTGTCAGTTCTGCTTAGCATTATAACTGTACGCTTGCTCCACAGAGTGGGCTAGGGGAGGAAAGGGAGAGGAAATCGGGTCCGGACGCGTCCTGTGCGTGCACCAACTGCCCACAGTGAGTATAATCGTTGCGTGGCGCAAGCAGGAGCTACAGGACAAGGACGGCAGTCAGGTGCACACAGGGGAAGGGGATCAGGAGACGAGGGGGTGGGAGGGTGGGACGTGTTATGTACCGTGCCTGCACCCTCAGGTGAATGTGGACGCCAGGCACCGCAACGTGTAGGGGCAGGTAGGTAGATAGGGGGGCATGAAAGGTAGACGACAGACAGACAGATGGACACACAGACAGACAACTGGTAGATGAGAGACAGACAGATGGGTAGAAGTTACTTTGCACTTGATAATAAAAAAGTTTACCCGAAAAGAAAATGGCAGGAAAATGCCACATGGAGAACTGGTTCCCTTCTCTGAAATGTCGGTGTGAGAAACAGAAAAATTTTCATTGGGAAAACTGCTGTTCACTTGTGGCTGTCAGGGGTGACCCTGCCGGGGGCACCTGGCAGTGTGTGTCCCTCACACCACGCACAGCCACGCCCACAACCGAGGATCCCTGGCTCCGAGTTCCTTGGGGCCTGGTAGCCATGATTGCCACAAACTAGGAAACTCTGGAGCCCACAGTGGCATATATTATTTTTAGTCATGTGAGACTATTCATCTTCATGACTTAAATAGTTAAAATAGTAGCATATAGGAATATAAAGGATTAACATAAAAGGCTAAATTCCAAATGTGGCTTTAATTAGTAGCTACAAAGACTAAGTAAAAAAGCACTTAGACCACTTTACTCCTACTTCTGCAACTAAATATCCTTTATTAAAATGGCAACTAGTTCTGGTCCTATATTCTGCTCACTGTTGATTTTTTACTTAACTGGAAAATAAAGAGTGGACCTTAAAGGATCTCATCAGACAACAAAGAGGGCTCTGGGTGCAGCAGTCCCTTAAAGGAAAATCCAGTACCAGGAAGCTCTGGGTGGGGAAGGCAGGAGCGGGGAAATGGTGACACGGGGCAGATCCTACATCCCTCCAAAGGGCTGTGTGGGAAGGTGTGGGGGAGGGGCGCGGGGTGCCCGTGTAACTGTCAAAGATCTTTCTCCGTGGGTGTTTCAGCTTCAGTTGGCCAATCACATAACAGATACATGTTTGGGGAAAAAAGAAAAGTTTATCAAAATGTAGCCCATTACATACATGGGTATGAAAGCGGGAAAGTGGAGGATGCAACGAGATGAAAGGGACATCTCGTTGACAAACACCTTCGCCAGTTTCTTTGTATTCATGATTTTTTTTTGCGCTATTAAATCCAGTATTAAAAAAGAAAAGCCCACATGGGCTTGTAAGAGAAGAAATAAGGGCGCTTGCATAAGGCGAGCAGTCGCTCCAGAAGTACAGAAGACAAGAAATGCTGTAGTGTAAGCAGGCGAGGC